CCCCTGGCCACTCCTGCGGAGCCGCTCCTCAGCAAGGAAAGCAAATATCTGTCCAGACCCCAAAACGAAGGGAGCACAGAGAGCTGAAGAATATCCTGGCCTAGAACTCCAGATGGGATCACAGGGGACTGATGGCACCAGCTAACCTTCTCCTGACCTCATTTTCAGCTGTTCCGAGCTGAGTCTGCAATATGTGGAGGGGTTCAAGTGCAATGAAAATGTATTTTGGGAGCCGTCAGGGGTCAAGAGAAGGAAACACACTGTCATAGCTCTCTATAATCACTAGATCCCCCGTTCTGGAAGCTTCGTCTCCACCCTTACTCTCAAGGGAGACAGCCTCCCAACCTCCACCTTCCCCTGGCCTCCTGCTGCCTAGTTATACCTACAGTTGGTGCAGGTTCCTTCTGGATGATCATCCAGGTGCCCCTTGTAACTCCTTTATGCCAATCTCACTCCCTTTGCATCATCTCGCCCCCCCCCCCAACCCCAGCAGCTATCATGGAAACTGCACAGTAAGAGTCACCCCTTTCCCATAGTTTAATGTACTTGACTCAAAACCACCGGAAGTCAACTCCTGGAGTGCAAGAAACTCTAAGATGATTCCAACTTTGCTGCCCAAGTCCTAACAACAGAGTGGAACAAATGTGAACAGGGGAAGTAGAGTGAGGGAGAATTAACTAAGGCTAGAGGTAGAGCCCAGGTGAAACAAAAGCCTGTTTAACCTTGATTATGGACTTGAATTTTGCATGTGTAAAATGCAGATCTACTTTAAAGTAACTCATGTCCTAGAAAACTGAACATGCTGTCCTGTAGTTTCCCTCCCTGGGCACACCGTGGAGGGTGTGGCGGCGGCGGGGCTCAAGCCTTAGGCACAGTCCTTGACCAATCTCCTACACACGGGCCGGAACGGGCCACTCTCCAGAAAAGCCCTGTGTTAATACTCACCGACTGGGCAGGACAGGCACACGTTTGTTTTCTGTTCTCCAGCTTCCTGTTCCCTTTCAAGGTCCCCTGATGCAGCAGCTTCCCAAGACCAGGGCAGAAAAGGAACTCCAAGCGACAGAGAAAACTGGCAGCAAGTTTAAAACATTTTTAAGAACATTTTAAAGTGTGATTTAAACATGTTTGAAAACATCAAGGTGCTCAGCTGAACTTACTAGCAATCCTCACTTCAAAAGCCCTTCTCCTGTTAACACCTGTCACACTAAATATTAATGGAAGAGAAGTCAGCAGCAGTGGCCTGGATAAGGGCAGGGCCAAGGAGGAGCTCCAACTAGTCTTTAGTAATAAACATTTTTCTAGCCAGGTGTTTTTCCCTTTCTCGGACTTGCCCCTGAGCTGGGAGTTCTGGTCCCCATATTCAGTGGTTGAGCCACTCCATATTCATGTTTGGGGCTGTATTAATCTCAATGAAAAGATGTCAAAACCTTTTACAGCAAATTTTGTCAGTGACAATCTCACAAAAAAAGACTTCCAATCATCAGCTATTGGCTTTTAACAATAATCCATACAGCCAAATCTCCACCTAACAAAACACAGACCATCTCTTGGCATTTCCTGCCACAAGAAGTTGTTGGGGATTTGGTCAGAAGTTAAAAGGCCCTGCAGATCAACTCATCTCATTGATCTCAAGTATGTTTGCCAAGGGTTGCCACCACCAGGGTGCATCTCTCAGCCGGGGAGGGCTGACCAATGCACCCATCTGTGGAACCGGCAGAGGTCTGCGCTACCCAGGAGGCATGGAGGGGGTGCCCAGCCCGGGGACCTCACCACTCTCAGAAGTAAACACAAAGTTCTTGACTCGGCGCCCTCAGGCCTGCTGCTCCCTGCAGAGTAAGCCTCAGACTGACGGAGATAAAGTTTCCCTGGGTCCAAGTTCCAAACTCGGCTGTTTTGTTTCTGTTAAAATGCAATTGTTTTTCTCTGGAGTGTGTGGTGACTGCTCAGCGTCAGGAAGATGTATGAAAACCTCCACTTCAATTCAGCATCTCTTTTCTCCCGGACAAACACGGTCGGATTTTAATAAATCAAAGAGCCACACTGTTTAATAAAAATTTATTGACTTACAAGTGATTATTTATCAAAAGACCATTAATAGCCGGTACTGAAATGATGTGTTACTGGGTGGTGCTGGGAGACTAATAGGAAATCAATGCGGCTGGCCAGCCAGAATGCATATGAGAAGCCTACCCCCCCGGCAGCCAGCGCAATTCCACCAGCAAAATACACCAGACGCTACCCCTGGTGCAATGAAAAGTTCCCCCTTTTTATTTATCGTTTACAAATGAAATGATCAATACTTTTAATCTAGAGCAAAATTTATTAACTTTCCCATCGGAGAGAGACATATTGACTGGGGGGAGAGGGGGTGTTAGTGCAATGGAAGATGGATGGTTGGATGGTCGTCCCTTAACCTGTCCAAGAGTCAGTGTGCATGCAGCTGCCCTTCCAGCCCCAATGTCCCAGGCCACACAGGGCGAGTGCAACTGGAGAAACCGAGTCTGGCCACCCCACATGCACAACGGGTGGAGGGGACCTATGACACGGTGGACTCTCTCATGTATCAGGGAGAGTGGGAAGCATTATCCCACAGACCACTGAGTTTGGGGTCAATTCCAGGAAGGAAATGGCAGGATATAATCCCAGACTTCTGAAGGACAACAGTTTGAGCCCACCATTGGTAGGCGCTGCTGTGAAGGGCTGAAAACAGGACGGTGCTCGAGGACTCGTCACTGGTCTGGTCTGGGAATTCAGGGCTCAGTGGAACACTCCCCATCACTTCACAGCAAGCCTCTTCTAATCTCTGAAGGTCAGCAACAGGGAGTGGGGTCTGACATTAAGCAAAGAACCAAGTTCCAAAGTTGGTTCTACTATGTCACAAGGATGTCATCTCAAACTGCTCCATCAAGCTTAGTTTGCTGAGCTCTGGCCGGGCTGACAGTTTCCTATTAAGCTTCCTCTGGCAGGGGAGCTGCACAGGCCTTTTTAGAAAGTTCCTTCTCTGACTGGCTGCGGGGGAAAAAAAACCTCATGTTTGAGTGAAAAGTCTTTCCAGGATCCAGTCAATCCCACCCAGGCCCACAAGCACCTAATACACTGAGGACTGTCCTTCACACGTGCAACACCCTCTAGTGGAGTGGAGTGTCACTAGCCCCACTGTTTTGGAGACAGCAAATGGCTTTAAACTGACTTTTTACTTCTGAACTCAGATGACTTTAGAACTTAAAGCCAAAGTTTGAACTATGTATAGGTTTAAAAATTACAGAAACTGCAGAGGTGGAAAGGGCCTTAAAGATCATCTAGCTCAAGTCCTTGGTTATGGATCGAGGATTAGAGACAGGGAAACAAAGTCAAACAACAAAGGAGGGGTAGCAGGTTTGGAAGCAGGATTAGAAGTTGGCCAGTGCTCATCCCACTAACTAATGCCACTTGGCTTTACTCCAAGAGTGTCCTCATCTCTGCTGGGGTCACAGGAGCGAGTGTACAGGTGTTTTGTACTTCATATGCCTTTCTGTTGCTATTCCTAAGGGCCATGAGGTTTTACCACACAAGACCAACTCGGTCATCCCAAACCAAACATTTTGGCTGATGGGTAAGTTCGAGGCCTACAGGGTCCCCAAGTAAAAGAATGGAGCAGTCTGATGAGTCTGCATGCTTATAACAAGCACCGAGTTAAAATTTTAAGAGCGTTTTGGGGGGAAGGAGTGTAATTCACATCCCCTCTCCTCACTTAGCAAAAGGAAAATAATCATTGCTTAGTCTCCACAAATATTTCTTTACATAGCAGTGATTCTAAACCAGGTTCCTGCAATACTTGTTAAGTCATCAACAGACAGGTTTGTTGAAAATCATGAAATAAATGTACTAATCAGCAGTTGTTTTTTTTTAAAGGAAACTTGGTTTTCAAGACCTGTTTTTAAAGATCATTCCAGATAGCTTTTAAACACGGTATTACTTATAAAGGCTGAAAACCACTGTTTACTCTTATTTTGTAAAACAGTTCATAAGAGGCTGTTCTTACAGTCATGATAGTTTTTTATTTAAGAGGAAAAAGCATTTTTCACGGTCAGCAGTACGGCAGGTATGAGGAAACGGGAGGCTATTCAGGGAGGCAGCGCAACAGGACGGCAGTTAGCGTGAGAGTCACGCTAAGGTCAGGTGAGACAAGTGCTACCAGTCCAGCCATCTCCTGAGCAGGCTTCACGCCCACATCCCCACGTCGCAGGATAGAGGGGTGGCCTTAGAGGGGACACTTACCAAGATCGTGAAAGGTGTGGTGACGGTGCCATGACGGAGGGAAGGGGTAAGGCTAAATGGATAAATGGCAGAGGTGCGGCGACTCTTGCCTGAGGGATTTGAAACTGAGGGGCCCTAGAATTAAGGAGCGGTGAGGGCGGCTGGCTTTGGATCTGCCTTTCGTGACTGCAGGCAGGTGCAGGCGGCCAGCAAGCCTGCCGTTTCCCTCTGGCTGTATGGAAGCCCACGGTGCACCAAATACCCACAGGTCATCCTGCCACCCTCACTACTGCAGGGCCTCCGCTCCTACCTCGCCCTTGCATCTCCTCACGGCTTCCTACTGTCCTTACAGACTGCCCCCCATCCCCTTCCCCCAGCTCAATAAACCACGCCCCATCACATACCTCTAATCCCACGGCACCCAGCTGTGTAGAAATCCCCGTCTCAGTCTGTGGTGGGGATTCTAAACGAGCCATTCGCTATATGAGTAGTTTACCTTCTCCTGAACAATACCACCCCCCATTCAGAAGTCAAGCTGGACTCCCTCCAGCCCCGGGGGTTATGTTCTGTGACTGATAGGAAACAGGTTGCTTAGGGCTACATCTAGGGGAGAAAGGGTGAAGGGGAAAACCCCTCAATTCATTCACCATCAAAGACAATTTTATTTACTCACAAAACAACTCCCAAGCCCTGGGCAGGAGCTCAGAGCTCAGACCTGGTCCTGCCACATCTCAGGGACCTGTACTTATAATACTGAGCTTTACTGTCCTTCACTCATTGTAACGCGTTCATCCCCACAACAACCCTGTGAGGTAGGTATCACCACCCTTCCCCTCCCGATCCAGGTCAGATGGGGAAATCGAGGCACGTGTTAACAAAGAGCAAGTCACATGGGAGTTCAGGATTAGCACTGGACTTTAAAAGTGAAAAATGATTCTTGCTTCTTACCACACTAGCCAGTGGTCCATCCTGCCTCTTTTCATCCCCTTTGGTGACTGCATGAGAATTTAAAACTTCATTTTGCTGAAAGCCCCTGCAGACAAGTTTTATTTTTATCAAGTCTGCAGAGCTCCAAGGCTGGGGGAGGCTGGGGGGGCCATGTTTAGGCTGGCAAGCCACACCGCCTCTCAGTGCCTCCCCTTCTCCCAGCCAAGGCCCGGGCACGAGGGCATCTGTAACAGACCAACACCTACTGTGTCCTACTGTTCCCGAGTACGGGAATGGGGCCGATTCTCCCCAACCACTCAGCCCCGCGTGCGCACGGGTGGAGAGTTGGCTTTAATGGCATTCCTCCAACAAGCTTGTCGTAAAAGAAACAAGAAGGCCTCTCGTCCTGGGCAGCAACGCCCTGCAGCATTCACTTCAGACAGCAAGCCCAGGGGTCCAGAGCAGCCCGGAGGCCCGAGTCTGGAAGGAAGGCAGCAGTGGCGGCTCCGGCTGGCTCCGCCCAGGATTTCGGGCATGGTCGGTCCAGCCAGCGCAAGGCGCGGGCTCAGGACCGGCTCCTGTCCTCGTGGTTCCCAACAATCATCTTGCTGTACAGCTTCTGCTGCTCCTCTTTGAACGTATCCTTCACCTTCTCCCTCTTCAGACCACCATCCCTGATGAGAGAAAGGCTGCAGGTAAGATTTCCAGCCCACCCCTGTATCACAGCTAGATGCACCATGCTGCTCAAACACCAAGGAAAGCCTGCCAGAAACCAAAGCCCTCCATAGCTCTCATCAGGATGAGCTCAGAAACTGGCCCTGGATTCCTGGAATCCACCCTTTCTACCTCAAAACTCTCACTCTTGCCTTGGATCAAAAGTCACTGCTCCTATTTAAGGTACTCTGTAATTGCTTAAACCTACCAAGGGGTTAAAAGTTCTTTCTACTTGAACATTCGTCCCCACCTTACACAAGCTAAAGGAGGTATTCTGGCATTATGGAAGGTGAACCAAGTTTTAGGAAATACTGAGACTTACAAGGAATCTATAAAGCAGATCTGTGAAATACAACTTGTAAAATTCAGACCGGAGGATTCTCCAAGTTCATGCACAGAACAGACACAAGGGGAAAACACGTGCATCCTTCTGTGCTCAGGGATGCTGCCGCAGGGGCATCCCAGCACCTCCCTCCATCTGCACCACACAAATCCTCTAAACTTGAGATTTCCTTCTTCCAAGTCTGACTCCCACCCACCTTTCACCCAACTCCTCGCCTACACCCTAGAATTATCCTCACCTTCAATGACTAAGGAAAATCCAAGCCCACTTTCAGTCTTCCTGCTACACCTTTTTGCTGAGTTATGGAGGTGGGAGGGGTGGAAAAGTCTCTGATGAAGCCCCCATTACTAGACAGACCTCACACAGGGAGACCTGACATCTGCTACACCCTTTCAAATCCACAGCACAGGTATCCTTTCAAAATAGCCGCCCTTGTCTTTATCAGGCCTCACGGAGGAGGAAGGTGGGGCAGTGGGCCAACCTTCAAGCTCTAACGGCCGGTGAGACCTGAGTAAAATCAGGCCCCAGAGCTTGTTCTATGACTTGGAGGAACAGTTACTTGAGTTTCAGTTCTCAAATGAAAAATGGGAGTAACGATTTCCATACTTCATGGAGTTACTGTGAAGATGAAAGGGGATCATCATACAGCGTCAGCAGCCGTGTCTGGCACACAGTGAGTGCTCAGTAAATATCAGCATCTTTTAAAAGGCTATAATCTGCAGGCCATGCTATTATCCAAGAACCCACAGGTTAGCTTAAAATTTGAATTTCCACTCTTTCCCCATAATGCCCACTTTAGCCAAATGCCCTTCAGAGCTGACCCTACGCTTAAACCTAGGGATCCTAAGAGGCTGGAATGGTTTCCCTGAGCCACCATTCATTCCCACCACTCCCGTGTTATTGGAGTGTAACTATTTCACACTCGAGCATAAAGGTCTGCAAACTATGGCCACGGGCCAAATCCAGTGACACCTGTTTTTGTAAATAAAGTTGTACTGGAACACAGACACACTCATTCGTTTTTGTATCATCGCTGGTTGCTCTCATGTTATAATGGCACAGTTAAGTAGCTGCAACAGAGGTCACATGGCCCATAAGGTCTAAAATATTTACTGACTCTACAGAAAAAGTTTGCGAACTCCTTCTCTAGTAGGTAACAAACTAAAAGCAAAAAACGAAACCTCTGCCTTTCAAAGATGGTCCGGTCTTGCCAAATGCATGAGATCAAGAGAGCCCAGTACTCCTATGAGGTTTCCAGATCAGCATCAGGGCTACCCTCCCTAAAGAGACAAGGACTCTCTGGGTGCCCTGGTAGACTAGCACAAACCCCAGAGAGGTACACACAATCAATTGCTTTCCCAGGCTCCATGTTCCCCAAGATCAAGGTCACAAGGCACTTCTGAGTTGGAACTTGGAGAAAGGAGTCAAACCGCTCACAGTCCAGGGCTGGAAAGCGTCATTCCCCAAGCCAGGGAGAGGCGGAGTCTTTGTAAATAGAGTCAATGATTCAACACCCTTCTGAAACTCACGTTCTCCTGGACTCAGCTGATAAAATCTGGCTCTGACTCACCATAGCAGGTCCACAAGTCCTCCTTGCCTGGCAATGGCGGATTTCACCCTATTTGCAAACTGGACAGCATCTTCATCTGTCTGTAAGAGAGAGTGAAGGAGACCACTCAACCCAAGCTCGTGGTCACCCAGAGCTAAACGAAGACCTCTGCACGCTGTGGGCACCTACCTCTCTGGTCATGGGAGGCAGGTACCAAACACTGCAGACAATGGCCCAGCTGGTCATCATCCTCAGCAGATATGTCACCATCCCGTATTTGCTGCTGTTCCAGAAGGCATCCCCGAATTGAGGGTCATACTAAAATACAACGGAGAGCTGGATGGTAAGAAATCAGTGGTTCTAACGATGAATGCACCTCCTGGGGCAGTATCGGTGTGAGAAAGCTTTTCCCAGGCCCCCTCCATGAACACTTAAGTACTGCTACGCCTAGGCAGTTCTGACCTCCAGAAACAGGCACCTCCCTGACTGCTCCCCTAACAGCAGCCCTCAAACAAATGTCCTCCCTCTTTGATCAGTTTCACATCTTCCTCATCAGTGCATAGAATCGATTATTTAAGTTTTCAAGCATGTCCAAACCCATTCCGTAGATACAATAATTACCAACACGTCACCATACTTGCTTCATCTATCCCTTCCCCTCTTATAAACCCAATCCCCAACATATTGTCATTCACTCATAAATACTTCTACATGTACCTCCCCCAAATAAGGGTATTTTCCTACGTAACTACCAACTTTTAAACATCATGTCTAGTTCCCCAGACCACAGAGAAAACAACAGAAAAGTTTACGATACGCTTCTGGAATTACACTGCTAACAAAGCTAATTATCTGTGTCAGCGGGAGGCCGTGCTTTGATTCAATCGTGTTAGTGACGCACACTGACAGTTCATGGGATCGCCACCGTGCAGGTGCTGCACTTCTGCCAAGCAGCAGGCTTACCCGACACTTTCATTTGCCAGCGACTCTAATGGAGGCAACGGGTGTACTTCAATGGCGTTTTGTGGGAAATGTGGCCAAAGCTGTGACTCTCATTCTAACCAAACAGAATAATTTAAGTGGCAGGTAAGCAGCGGGGAGAGGTGCTGGAAGAAATTACAGAAGAAGCAACAAAAGGAACCAAGTCCTTGAGAATGCCTGAACAAAGCATCATGGGACTGTTATCAAATGTTTGAAGGGCTATCAGAGACAAGATCTTAGACTAACTTTGTGCAATTATAAAGCAAAGACTTGGAACCAGAAAGTGGAAAAGTAAAAGGAGACAGCATTTCAAGAGCTGTCCCACAGGACCAGGCGGCCACCAGTGTGGAGACTGCCCTCTGCCTGGAAGAGCTGGGGCAGGGACACAGCGGGGGCCGTGGTGGGGACTCCTGCACTCAAGGGGCTGGGGGTAGGTCTGAACTATATGATATTTGAGGCCTTTCAAAACCTAAATTTTATGATTCTCAGAATAAAAATTGGGTAATTGTGCCCAGTTATGGACCTGACTACTGAAATGAAGACATCTAGATTTAATTATAGAAACTAAGAAATTTATACAAGGCTTAATGAGTTCACATTATAGTATCAAAAGGAAATAAGGGAGAAGAATGGGTTTTAAACAGAAGCTAATGTGTATGATTTGAAGAAAGTGTTGTTCTATTTTATAAAGCACTATGAGGATAAAAAAACGTGGTATGTGTGAGAGAGCAAGTGTGCGAGTTTGTTTAGGGCTCATTCTCTATTCCATGATGGTCAGAGGCTGTAGAGGGAAAAACAAGGCAAAAGCTCAAAACAGCAATAAATTATCAAAATCAGATGATTTAACTTTGATGGAAATGTAATGAAAGCATTGACATTGCTAAGGTAATCCAAGTTTGGTTACCAAAAACGTCACAAAAACTAGATTAAGTATCTATGGGGCAGAAGTTCTTAATCTTATGTGGGCTTTAGTCTGTGAATGGAATGGAAATTACATGTAGAATTGACATGTCTCCTTCTTTGGAGGAGTCATAACTGTCCCAAGGGTCCATGTTTCAAAATGGTTAAAAACCACTGCCCCAGAACAGGGCTCACAGTTTGGCCCTGACCAGCAGTGTCAGCGGCGCCCGGGGACAGGTTAGAAATGCTGGGCGTGGCGCCCAACCCTCTGCATTTTCACAATTCCTCTATATGATGCTGATACAGTGAAGATCCAAGAACCAATGTTCTGCAAGTGAGCAATAAGGGCCTCTAACCAGTAGCTTGTTTTTAATAAACATAGATGACGGAGCGCTAGACTCAGTATACTAAAATGCAGGGTGGCATGCATGCAATGCAAACAACACTCCGCATCCTACACCCACAGCAGACACTGCTATACACTGTTTTCTTCCTTGTTGTTCCCAGACATGGCATCCCTCGAGCAGCCCCGACCCACGGCTCAGTGACCCTGCACACATTCACCTGCCGCCACTGGCCCGGTGCTTCGCCTACCTGGTAAAGGGGAGGGGCTGGCAAGCGTTTGCTCAACCAGGAGGAGCAGCTCTTCCCCCAACTGCACCAGCTGTGCTGGCAAGGTGAAAATAAGAAATATTTCTACAGAGTGCTCTGCAGATAACAAACAGGCTTGCAGAAATAGAGAGACTACACTCTAAGCACAACTCAAATTTAACTCACTGTTTTGCTCTGATAGTTCATCCTAAATACTTTAAGCATATTTATAACAGCCTGTGTTTTTTAGAGGTAATAATGTCGGTAATAGCATACTTTTAGAAATAACACTGTATCTATTTAGAAAATCAGATAGATGTGAGGGGGACGATGGAGGAAGGAAAAGAAAGAGAAACTGACTATTAACTGAATCCCATCTCTCTAGGTAAGTTTGAACAGTTAGAACAAGTTCCTGAAAGGTGCGAGAGACAAGCTCTTAAGATTCATTTCGTTTTCATAAGCTGTGCTTGGTACGTAAGATGAGACCACAAGCCGAAGCAGTGGAGTTGTTTCTTCCTTCAGTGCCAAGGATATATCTGCAGCCATCCGGCCTTACCTCTCCACCACCTGCACAAACCCAGCTTGGCAGTCGCCCCCGCACCCCCACCCCCACCCCCACCTTGCAGTAAGCCACCTCTTCGGGTGGAGGACCTTACACTCCAGCTAGGTTTATGAAGAAAGTGGGGGAAATACATAAAGTTATGAAGGGCCTGCCATTTCCTGAATGTGGTGGGGATGGTGAGGTGTGGGCTGAATTTGGCTGTTCCTGGTTCAAATACAACTCAGTCCCTTCTAACTGGCTATGAACAATGTCACATTCTCCTCCTCTGGCACTCAACCCATGCTCGCCCGGCCCCAGGCAACTCTACTGGAGGAACAACCAATGGATGGTGACATCAGCGCCTTCCTCCACCTTCTCGTGCTGTGTCCCGTTCACAACAGCAGCGATAATGACCACACGCACCCTCAGCGGTCTTGTACCTTGATAGCAACAGGGTACACCGTGGCTCCAATTTCAAAACTTCCCTTTTTGAACATCATCACCGATGTGTTATTGATGCAGGTTCCTAAAATGCAGGAGAGAGTAAAATGCTATTTCTTTTGGTCCTTTTACCCCAGAGATTAGGAGTTTAAGGACCAAAGATAATAATAAAAATTCTAATGACTCTTCAAGCAGGGTAAATCTGTCACCTCCCTAGCTTATGAATGAACACTTAAAAGAGATGAACAAAACACTGTACTGCTTCCTATTCTTATTACAGGACAGCTTTCCCTGCTTAACACACAGCAGCCTCCATAAAAGGCCAGAGACACTCAGTACACTTGGCAGGTCTCGGTGAGAACTCTCTAAGAAGCCAAAAGACCCCATTAACAGTATTACACAAGGGATGCCCACACTGGGGAAGTTCACACAATGGCACGCTTAGTCCAAATTCTGAATTTCTATGAGTTTTTAGACCCACAACCAATCTAACGAGACCTAACATTATTCAATGAAAACAGATGACCCCAACAAAGGCTAAGGGACTTGGTTCCGAGGCAACAGCAGAGCCCTCTTCCTGCTCGGCCTCCCCTGACAGAAACTTGTGTGGTGCTCAATGCCTTCTTACCCTCTGGGAAGATGAGGATGGGCAGCTTGCTTTTATCCTGCACGTGCTCAGTCAGTCTTTAGAAGAGAAAAGTAAAGGAAGGGTCAGACAGCCTTACGTCCATTATCACCAAAACGCATTTATATTGAATAAATAACTCACATAGATGTGACACTAGATGTTGTATAAAAGCAAGTGAACAAATATGATATCTTTTATAAACCTATCATCTAAATCTTGCAAAGACAAAACTTACAAGGACAGGGAAACTCAGATAACTACTGTTTAATTCCTACAAGTCCTCAATTAAGTATGAAAGTCTGTGCACAGAGGACATTGCTCAGACTTGAGGCGCGTCTGCCAGAGGGGCCTGCAGAGCGCTCCCTCAGTAAACGCTTGCTACTGGCCTTCCTAAGAGCCATGCCGGGCTGGACCTACAGTCCACCTGGCTTACACTGTGTCCCTGAGAGATGCAGCAAAGGGACTTTAGTGGCAGGTTCATTTGTCCCTGTGGAAGGTGGTCTCAGTTGAGTCTTGATTCCTCTCAATTCACTGCAAAGCTCTTGCAATCATTACCTGGTACCAGGTTTACCTTACCTTTTTTGCAAGCTTGAAAATGGAAAAGCACTTTGTTCCATTGCCTTAAGTTTGTTTTTATTTTTGATAATAAATTCATTTTGAGATTTCAATAGCATTAAAAGTGCATATGTTATTTGTTACAATGGGTACAAGAAATAAGAAAGGTTTAGAAACACTAATTTGGTAAATAATACTAGGTTTTCTATACTTTTTGTAGTCCATGTTTCAGAAAAAATTTTTTATTAAGAAACAGTATAGGCTTAGTGTAGAAGACACTACCATTCCACTGTGGAGGGACACTACCTCTAAAATGCGTACTTTCTCGGTAGCTGGTTATATACACAAGAGCATTCTGTTGATTTACCTTTTGGCCACTAGATGGCGATCTTTCACTTCAGACCTCTCAAACCAGACGTGAGGGCAGGACTTCACCATGGCTCTCTGAATCACACCCATGAGTCCCCCGTGCACTTGACCCACCTAATCTCAGACAAAGGAATAACTGGTAGTGAAGCCATCCTCACACAAATCCCCCACACCGTGGAGGGAGCCCCAGATCCCACAAGATAAGACCGCAACCTCTCACCCTCTAGCATTTTATTGATAACTGTAAGTTTCTCACTATTTAAGAAACCACTATTAGACTCCCTGAAACTTAAATTTCTCCTTTTAATTAGTGATACCAGAGACGTGTAATTGAAAACATAGCTGAAAACTCTAAAATGAAATAATGAAACTGAACAATACCTTGTGTAAAAATATCCTCCCGGGGCAGATTCTCCAATGCCCTTAAACCCAGTTCTTTAATCTTACCTCTCCCTATCTGTACCCCTTTCCATGACACCTGAACATCCCAAGTCTAATCTCCAACCACACTCTCAGTTACTCTACTCAGAATATCTCCTATCAAAGTCACAAGGCGTTTCCAAAAGCAACGGAAACAAAGGTGACAATGTAGGTTGGGGCCCATGCATAAAAACATGTTTACCTGTTGATACCCTTAAGCGTGAGCTCGGTGAAGGGTCCAGAAGCCTCCCTGCCCTGATCAGTAAGAAATCTTGCCCCAAGAAAACAACAGAAAGAGGTCTTACCATTGCATAATAGCCATCACTAGCCAAAATGATGCCATCAATAGGAGAGGTATGATTGGCCACACAGATGCCACCGTTTCTAGGCCTGTTTTTCCTGTGTTTAGAATGTATGCAAAGCAACAAAAATTAGTGTGAAACAATTCATTTGGAACTCATCCTTCACCTCATCAGCTTCATCAACTCTAACTGAAAATTCAGAAGAGCCCCCGTGGCTGGTTGCAGTTGGGTGGTGTTCTGCCAGCGCCATTTCCCTTTGTATCAAGTTACCTTACCTGTCGTGGTAGGTAATGATGGCTGTCAGAGCTCGCACGCAGATCCGGTAACACATTAAGTGAACATGTTTACTCAGGAACTCCTTAAACCTGCAACAACAGGACAAAGAGTTTTGTTTTTATTTTACATGCAGGAAGACAGGAAAAGTTGCTGACTCCAACAATTTAACTGTCACTGTCCTTTAAGACTGCAAAATATTTTTATAAATGTTAGTGTATAAGTAAAACCCTGTAATGTATTAACATCTTTATGTCTTATATGAGGAAACAAAGCAATGATGAGAGCTGCTTAAATTTACCTAAGTTAATGGGTTTAGAATTCATAGCCTTAGAATTTCCAGCACAGGTAAGTCTCCTAGATTCCTTTCCTTTCCACTCAACACCTAGAGGCAGGGCAAAGGCCAGAGAGTCAAACCTTCTCGCCAGCCTGGGCAGAAGAGAGGTTTGCCAGCTCCAGAATTTCCCAGAAGGAGCAAATTTCTCCTTAAAAGAACACCACAAGCAAACAGAAGCCCTACCTACATTTCTTATCTTCTTACCAATTTGTCAACCCAGTAGAATGCTCAAAATTAAACACACTATAAAATCTGCTCGCCTTCAACTGTGGTTTGTCCCTTTTGTCTTTAAAATGGGAAGAGTGTGAGGGGTGGAGGGCAAAAACAACAGTCGCCGATCAAGATTAGTAAAAAAATAAAAGACTAATGCTGATGCCACTGTCATCTTGTGTTATTTTATCCACTGGAGATTCTGTGGTTTGGCTATACCCAGAGAAGCAGCCTGACCTTCCATAGCAGAGCCACCACTCCCAGAGCTAAGTACCCTTCAGACACGGACATTCACTGTACTCACCTTCCGTTTGGCAAGTATCCTACCACGGTTGTGCCCACCACCAGAAGGCTAATCCCTGTGAAAGCGAGCGCGATCCTGTAATAAGAAGACAAATTAAAACACGCAAATCCTTGCACCATGTATACAGACTATGTGAAAACGGAAGTGGGCGTCACAAACACCACCCCCAAGATCTGATCACCTAGGACCTAGACTAGATTCCACCTAGAAATGCGAGCAGGCCTGTCAGAACCGGAGATCATTTTGATTCCAAACTGAGGGTGACTAGGGATTTGGCTCTCAGCTGACACTATCTCCTCAAGCATCAGGCAGCCGGGATGATGGAAAATCCTAACACTGACTGTTCCGCCCTCGGGCACCTTCTGTCCTGCTGTCTTACCCTTCCCTTTGGCTTTAAACCCTGGCAGAAGCACAGCTTCTCTGTGAAGCACAAGGAAGGAGATAGAGCCTGAAGGTACGAGCATCTGGCAATGCATACTCAGAAAGCACCTGGTACAGAAGACTGAGAGACCAGTACTGCCACTGTACTAGAAAAGCAAGCAGCAAGTAGGAAAGCGTGCCCAGGGAGGTGGCCAGAAAGCACATCATGTTCCCTGTCCCTGTGATAAGGCCAGCTAGACAAGTAATTGGTCTTTAGAAACCCAACTATTTCTGTCTGATATGCAGAGAATCCAAGGGTTTTAAAGGATAATCACCAGTGTACCCTTCCAAGGATCAGACCAACTAGCCAGTAAAAGAATCATATTATCCTTTTTTCTAAAATGGGAAAACAAAGCAGGGAGACATAGGTAGAAAGATAGCGCATCAGGCTTAGGCAGCTGTAGTTCAAGCCCTTTGTCCCCTCAGGCCCTACGCTCACCTGAGTGGCAGGAGGAAGCAATACCGAATCAGCACTCCTAAGCCCCATAAGACAGTGAGCCGAAGGCTGATATACTGGAAGTTGTAATTGGTTCTGCTCAGCAGGTTCCAGGACTCCAACTCTTCGGCTGAGAATCGCTTTGTCACCTCATCATCCATAATGGTCTCCATTCCTTTCCGGCAAAAGTAGAAAATGTCAGACAGCTCAAACTCTGGAGTATTATCCAGAGCCTTACTGCTACCGCTTCGACGAATTTCTTTGATTTCTTCTTCTAGTGAAGTGGGATCCTTTGCAATGATTCCTGCAGAAGAGAACACCTTGTCAAACAGCATGCTGGGAGAAAGCATGTTAAAAATACTCAGAGGACACAGCCTACCTTTTTCATAGTGAAGAGTCTGTGTGCAATTAAAAGCACTCGAGTCTATTTCAAAGGGACCTTTTAGGATAAGGCTCGAGACCCAGTCTTACCATTGGTATAGGGCTTGTAGAGTTGGTGGTTCTTCTCCTTGGCGCCTCTCTCCATTCTCAAGGTCGCCCACTGTGGGGGGGGGGGAAACGGCCACAAACAAGAATGAGATCTTTTTAATTCAGTGAACACCTCCATTCCTATTCTGTGAAAGCCTTAAGCCCAGCCACCTGCGATCAGGCTGTACCCCAGAAAGCACCCATTCTAAAAGTAAAAGCCCTCTCCTCCCAGAACAGCCTCCCTCCCTGACAACTAGATCCCAAAGTGAAGTCATCTACATACAGTAAGGAGCTGGGAACTAAGGAGCCCAGTGAGTTCCTCAGGCCTAGCTTCTCACTACCTCATCTCTGTCTCCAGTTCCTTGAGGAACTCCCTAGCGGACCTCACACGTTCCCTCTTTACTGACAAACAGCAGCTATTCAAGTAAAATCAACCATCCTTTAAGCTACTGCCTGCCACGCAATGCTGCTCCCCTCCCAAATTATTCCAAGAAAGCAACAATTTTGGTTTTCAAGTAGATAAAAATTTAAATTTTCTTTTCTCTCTCTCTCTCTCTCTCTCATATATATATATATATATAATCTGGACTGTCCATTCACCCTTTGAATAAACTTTTAACAGCAGGACCCAGGACTTGATATCGAAAGAACTGAGAGTGGCTCAGTGTTTAGAAAAAAAAAGAACACTTTGGAGATTTACAAAAATCTAGGTTCAAATCCCAAGTTTGACACACTTATGCTATGTCCTTTAAATAACTCATTCCAACATTCTGAATGTTGGTTTTTCTATCTACAAAATAGTATGACAGTACATCATGAGGTCACTTAAAATCAAATGAGATTATACATGTGACAGAGCTTGGGCAACTGCAAAACACCCTAACTGTCCTCTATTACTGAAATAATAATGGACTCTGGAAGAGATCTAGAAAAAAAGAGGCTTGTCCTAGAGCCTCCCCTCCTCATTAAAATCCTTCTAACTAAAGAAAGAGAACTCGGGGCTGAGTCTCTCCCACTATCAAATAATGAGAGGTGAAAACATGAGCTCACTTATTCCCTACTAGAATAAGTTATCACCAAATAGAAAGTGATGTCCATTGTGAGTTGAAAAAATAGAACAAATATCTTAAGAAGTATCTTTTCAAAATTCTGTTTACACAGTTATGCAAGGTGGATAAAAACCCTATCATTCCATGACACAGCAAATCCACACAGCCTAAAGCATTTGGTGTCGGTTTTGCTGGCAGAGCCTCAAGTATTAGCAAGACCGCTCTGCATGGTCGCAGAGTCAAAAGCGGGACATGTGTTTAATCAGCGATCTAGCCTCATCTGGAAATTTCTTCAAATTTCCACCTTGAAAAGCCACCGTCTAGAAAAAAACAGATGGCTTACAGCATCACCCACTCAAATAAAGGTCTAAGGCAAGAAAACTCACATAACCCATTTTCTATATTTCAGATATTCAGCCATTGATGTCTTTTGGCTCTATGCATAGATGCTCTTTTCTAGAAGAAAATGTAACTATAACTCCTAAAATGGAGGAAGGTGAATTCCACCAGGGAACTCCGTTTAGGGAAGAGGTGAATAAGGGGCAAGAGAGTTTACGACAACCCTGATGTACAGACAGGCCGCTCAACAAGAGCTTGGGGCTTTCTTTCCATTTTGGCCAAGACTTGGTATTGCAAACACAAGTCAGAATCAGAATTGGTTCTGTACTGACAATTCTGATACTTAGATCAGGACGCAACAGGTAGGTAGTGTATGGCATCAGGCCTCCTGAGCAGCAGACTTATGTCTGTGAGGACGGCTTCCCTCTGCAAAGTTCAAGACGGCTGTGGGTTTTTACCATTGGAAAGGTACTGATTCAATGGGATTCTATGTCTCCTAGTTCTGTAACAAACCTGTCAAAAACATCCCTTTGCCCTCCTGCTTTGTACTTCTAGCTTTACGTTTTCAAACTTCAGGTACATTACCAAACGCTTCTGCGTTTAGGAAAGAACTGTCCAGTAACAAGAGTTAAGAGGAAAAAGGGCAGGGTTGGCGGAAACTGGTTGTTAGCTGGGAACAGCCTGTTAAGGAATGGCTGGGTTACTTCCCCCGGTGCACATCAGCAATGTCCAATAGCTACACAATGGCTTCTGTGAGCTGTCACTTTAAGAAGTACAGTGCTCAGACACCCAGAATAAAACTGAGAATCCTAGGTTCAGAGTTCATTTCCCTATAAATCTCCTCTCCCTTCCCCTGTGAGATGCCATTTACTATGCTGTCAGTATCAGATTACTAAAGCCTTCCCTTTTCAGCTTCTCCCAGACAGAGAAGAGACCATTTAAGGGCACTAACAATGCTGCACTCTCTGGTAACACATTAAACTCAAGGCAGACCTTGGTAGGTGAAATACAGGCCCAGCCCTTAGAAATGCAGATGGTTCAATGGTAAATTTTTGCTTAGTTATTCACTCTGTTGGACACTACAATTTAGGAATTAATCACAAGGGTAAGATCTAACAGTCTGAGCAAAATTAATCTCAGCAGAAACCTTCCCTTCCATTTCAGTCAGCCTCCACTGCATTTTCCCATGAACTAGGGACACCCCAAAAAATCAGACACTTAAAAAAATCCAGCTCCCATCATCCGTCACCTTCTATTTCCCATGAAAAGCCTACATAGTTTAACAAGTCTCTCCTCTCCATGCCTCAGCTATAACTGCTAAGTAGATACTATCAAATCTAGCAATCCTGACTTCATAAAAGGGCCAATGTCACATTTACAATCACCTGCTTGTCATCTCCACACCAAGTCCAACCAGCCGTCACCAACCAGCAAGTGGAGAATTTAAGGCAGCACGTCTTCTCCCAGCCCCAATGTGCTCCCCTCCCTCTGTGGTGCCAGGGTCACTATCCCTGTCACTCAAGCTTCCAGGCTTCCCATCTGTCATCAAGTCCTATCTACACTCCCCTGAAATGGCACTTGCACAACTGCCTCATGTCATGCTGTTACCTTCGTTCACTGGCTTCTTCACTTGCCTACACTAATGCAACAGCTATTTAATTGCTCTTTCTTTCCTCCAGGCCCTCCGAACACATGCTGCCAATCGGACTATGTCAATTCCTTGCTCAGAAACCTTCAGGGGCTTCTCAATGCCTAAGGAAATAGTTGGCTTTATAATCTACCTTACTCCTTCCATGCACCCCATGCTTTGCTCTACAGAACTTCCTACGGTCTCTAACCAGACTATACTTTCTCAGCTGCACTTGCAGAATGCTTTTTCAAATACAGTTCAAATGACAAATACTGTATGAAAGACTACCTCCCCAATTCCTGCAGTTAGAATTAATCTTTGCCCGAGTATTTTATTTTTTATTTTATTTTATTTTTTTTAGCTGAGCCATCCTGCTACCTGTTGGCAGCTCAGCGGCTGCTCAGCTCGGGCTGGACTCGAACCGCTGTTGCTCAGAGCTCAAACTCTTGAGCGAGCTCTTAACCAACTGAGCCACTCGGCCGGCCCATTGCCCGAGTATTTTAATTGCATCACATTCTGAAGCAGTTATATGTGCATATATTTGTCCTTCTGACTAGACTATAAACACCCTGAAGGGCAGGAGCCAGAACCTACCCTTATTTGCATCCCAGCACACTCTGACAGAGTGCTTGCACTTAGTAGGCTGTCAATAGGGCTGCGTGTAATTAATCAACTTCCAATATTTCTCTTCATCAAGGTATACCAAGGTTCTTTCATACAGAAAAATGAACAAATCATGGGAAATGAGTTGTTCAGCCAGGGCTTACTTAGGTCCACCAGAACCACAGGAATATAGACTATTATATATCCAGTTTTAATAATCTTTATAAAGATTACCTAGTAAAATGCAACAATGGTCTATGAAGTCCCAAAAGAAGCACAGATACAAAATTTTATGTACATGCTATTAACACAACCATAAAATATGAATGCATATTGCTAAAGGCTGAAGGTAATACAGCATAAAAAAATGTTAAGGTGTTGTAAGCTATAGGACATGAATGTTTATTGCTACATAACAAACCATCTCATAACTCAGTGGCTTAAAACACCACCATAATTTATTTTGCTCATGAATCTGCAAATTGCACAGCGTTTGGCATCAGCTGGGTGGCTAAAGGCTGGGGGCTGGACTCCTCCTAAGGCTTGCTCAGTCCTGCATGGGGCAGTTGATGCTGGTTGTCAGACCTCCCTGGGGCTGTGAGCTGGAACACTTACACGTGGCTTAGGCTTCTTCACACGGCGGGCTGGGGCCCAGGGGCAGCATCCCAGGAGTAAGACAGAAGGTACACTGCCAGTGTTAACCTCATCTCATAGGTCACACAGCATCATGCATGCCACACTCTACTTGTTAGAAACAAGTCATAAGGCAGGTCCCCATTCAAGAGGGCATGAATCAAGACTCCATCTTTTGATGGCAGACATAAAATTCACTTGGGGAGCTTTTAAAAATGCCCACCCAGACCAGTTAAATCAGAATCTGTGGGGAGATTCTAGTGCTCCCAAGTACATACTTTAAAAATACTTTCTCAGGTGACTCAATGTGTAGTTGGGGGAGAGACACCCATGGAATTCAGATATCTCTGGCTTTCTTCCCGCTCCAAAATTATATATACCAGCCCAATTTAGGGGGAAATGAAGAGGCTAAAAAAGGCAAAATAAAAACCTCTATTAAAAAACAGCCACAAATATAAGTGTATTTTAGATGTATACATGGATACACAGATGCATACTTCCCAAGATCTAAAGCCAGTTTGGCCAAATTCAACTTGTATCTAATACTACTGCTGATAAAAACAGCATTCTGTTCTTACTGTCTGCTAAGATCAACTCAGAGCAGTAACCCTTCTTAGAGGGTGAGAAAAGACCGGACACTCTTACAGAGCCACCCTATGCCCTTGCTGGTCTGTATCAGTTCTTCCTCGCCCACCCCTTGCTCTAGCTAATCTCCAAGTTGTCATTATCCATGATGCTCAACCGCACAGGAGCCACAGGGCCCTCTGAATGCCTGGTACACACCTCTAGGAATCAGAGGTGCAAGTCCAGTTCTTGAAATTCTAAATCTTGAGGTAAAAAATGGATACATACGCATGTACAGACACATAATACACACATTACTTCCATTACCACTTCTAAATCACTGTGCCCCAAACCAGTGATTTCCAAGATGTGGTCAGCAAGGAGTCTCTGATGGCTTAAGATTACCTGTCCTATGGATTGGCCCAACAATATATATTTAATGAATTTTCCATTGTTAATTACAATCTACCTTAAAAGTCATAAGAATGTACATTTAAAAATATTATTACAGTGGGGCAGCCAGTTGGCTCAGGTGGTTAGAGCGCAGGCTTACAACACCAAGGTTGCTGGTTCGATTCCCACATGGACCAAGGATTGGTCCTCCACAACTAGATTGAAGACTATACTTGACTGGGATCTGATGGGTCCTGGAAAAACACAGTTCCCCAATAAAATTTCTTTAAAACAAACAAAAAAATTATCATAGTAAGAAGGATTTACTTGGCTATGAACTTTAAAATATTAATTTTGGGGGACAGTTTCAAAACAGAGTAGGGCCTATACATGGATTCTAGGCCTTCTGTCCTACCCAAAGTGATCCAAGTTAAAAAATTTTTAGCTACTACAGAAGCACCCTAAGCTGATAACTCCTATTTCTATGTTTTAAAAATAAAGATTTCTATAGGTCTATGAATTAATCACTTGCTTAGAAACCTGAAAAAAAGCTAGACAACGCTCACTGCTGTCTCCTAAAAGTTTATCAGTTGTTCTACTGATTCTATACCAGTGTATGTTTTTCACAGCGGCAAAAGGCCATGGGTAGTAAGTTATATGCTCCAAAGGAACCCTAGGCTCTACTGAAGATTTTTTTGGACTGAAGTTTAAGAAAATTATATTTCCTAATTAATTAAACACTGTACATTAGTAAAGCAACTAGTCCAAAGACTGATGAGGTTACCACTTCTCAAACTTTAATGCGCATATGAATCACCTGCATCTTGCTGAAATGCAAATTCTAATTCAGTAGGTCTGAAGTGGGCCAGAGACCTCCATGTCTAACCAGCTCATGGTCTGGTCTTCAGTCCACTCCCTGAGCAAGGAACTAGAAATCGTATTACTGAAAACAGGTACTCAAACAAGGGCATGTACAACACAGCTGCACTACTGACCATAGCCAGAAGGTGGGCACAGTCCATTAATGGATAAGCAAATTATGGTATAGCCATACACTAAAATATTATTCAGCCAGTTTTTAAAAAGTACCGAAACATGTTACAATGTGGATGAATCTCAAAAATGTTATGCTAAGTGAAAGAAGCCAGTCAGGAACAAAAGAGCACTTTTTATATCATTCCATCTATATGAAATGTCCAGAATAGGTATATCCAGACACAGAACACATACTCCTGGTTGCCAGGAAATGGGGGAGGCGAAAATGGGGGGCAACTGCTCAGTGAGTATGGGGTTTCCTTCTGGAGTGATGAAAATGTTGTGGAATTGGATTGATTTGGTGGTTTTATAACAGTGTGAATACAGTAAATGCCACTGAATTGTTCACTTTAAAGTTGTTAATTTTATGTCAATTTCACCTCAATTTTTTTTAAATGTGAAAAATATCATATTCTTATAGAAATATTAAATACCAAAAGGCAGCACTGAAGATTCAATAATATACATAAAAAAACTCCCCGCTGTAACAGAACATTTCATGTAGCTCACCGTCTTTCTGAGGCTCTACCTCTTCACTGGTAAAAGGCAGACACCCTGTCCACTTCAGAATTACAAGGAACCAAATGAATGAAATTATTCTGAAAACCATCAGATACTACATGAACAATACTGTATTATTTTTGCTATTATGAGTGCATTTCTCAAATTATATATGGTCTCAGTTGTGAAAAAGAATACCTGAAGATTTGGTGACGACTAAAAACAGATAGTTAATAAATTACCAAATCTTTGGAAAGATATTAAACGTCTTGGGGCACAGATCAACTTCTAGGAAATACCACTTCTTACCCATTTCCTTTACAGTATGACCAGTTCTGTTCAGCAGTATAATTAGTTAAGTTCTGACATATGTTAAGAAATTTGTCATCCTTCTCCTCTATCTTTATAAATTCATCAAATGCCCTTTAATTCTTTTTGTCTGAAATGCAAGAACCTATTTAAGATAAGTGTCTGAAAGAGAAGAAAGATTCTCCCATGCTTAACAGTAAAGGAGTATTTCAGCAGCAGCTTTGTGTTTCAGTATCTGCTACATAAAAGGAGGTAGGATTGGGCAGTGATTTCTTTCCTTAACTCTAAGCCCCTCTTTTGGAAATAAAGTACGGTGTCATGGAATAGGTTCCTTTGCTAAGAAGTATCAAACATACAAGTACCTTAGCTCAAAAAAAGGTTGCTAAAGGCTTTTGCAAGTGCACGTTTAGTTATTCTTTTTATTCAAAATGCCACTTTCCATTCTGCCAACTTTCTCCACATCCAATAATGATAACACCCAAAGAACAACTTTTCCCTCCTCTGCGAAGCAACCATCAGTAAACAGCACAACTCACCGCAAAGATTTTTAACAAAGTTTTCATGTAGAGCTTTCGTATACCAAAGGAGACTCCAAAAATAGCAGGGACTATGATGAAAACAAGGAGGAGAGTGAAGAGGACAGTCAGGGAGATGCCCAGAAGGTTGACAAGCAGGCTGTCGAAGGGCAGCAACAGGAACATGGTGGTGGATCCGCTCTAGGCCGATGCGCCCTCCCCAAGAACAAAGCACGGCCCTCAGATGGTTCTCTCAGACAGCACCAGCCTGGGAAAGGAGGCAAGTTCCCAATGGAAAACAAACTCCATTCCAAAGTTCAATCACTGGCCAGCCTGAGTGGAAAGCGTGGGAGCAGAACGGTAGTCAAAAGGGCCACAGGCGGCAGCCGGCGAAGGCCAGGGTCAGTCTTCAGCACCAGCATCCGGTGCAGCCTGTTTCTGTGGCAGTGAGCAGTAAGGGAAGGATCTCTGCTCCGCTGCCCTCACGCTGCTTCCACAAGTTTTACTTTCTCTCCTGCCCAAGAGCATTTAGCACATAAATCTGTCCTCAAGATCTGTCATTGCCAGAAGTACCAAGAAGAGTTCAATGTGGTGCCAGAAAAATCCTGATAATTCCTGTGGAGGGGGAGGGTGACTGCTGGCACTTCACACAGAAGGGTATTGAACTTGAATATGTGGAAATTAAACAGTTGTTTTATTTAAAACTCCTTCATAAGCCGAATATTGTGTTCATTGTAGAGAGTTCGTATCTGGCCCCATTGTTCCTCTATAGAGGCTCCTGGCACGCGCTGCTTCCAGGACCCTCCTACCTGGAGAGCTCCCGTCTTTGCCAGTGGGACACGGATGCTGGCACAGAGTGTCTCATGCTGCCTGTGGTGAGTGTAATTCCAGACGCTTCTGGCATTGGATATCCTTCTCCCTAAGGACCCTTCTCAGCGGTGACCTGGGTTCTTGGCAAGAAGTTGCTTACATGCTGCCAAAGCTGGGGGTGGAAACAGAAACAACGTCAGTCACACAAATCAAAAGAAACATCAATATGCTTTGGAGGTGGGGGACTGCTTTAGGGGAAGCCTAGAGTCAGTGCCAGCTTCTCAAGTCATCAAGGTCAAAGGACCTGGCTAGAGCAACAGGTGGCAGACACAGATGTGGAAAGAAAACACACAGATGTTTCATATAGATTTCAACTCCAATGATATGATTTGTGGCCATTCGAATTTTATAAATAGAAAATACATAAATATAAGACACATGTTAAAAGATAAAGAGGGTATACTGTGAAAAGTAAATTTCCCTCCTACTTATCCCCCAGCTACCCAGAGTTCTTGTCCACAGATACAACCACTTTACCAGCTTTGTATTCTTCCTGCTATTTGATGCTTATACAAGTAAATCATAATTGGTATTTTCTATCCATCTCCCAACCTGGCAACAATAAATAATGGCATACTATGGACATTGTTCTTCATCTTGCTTTTTGTTCGTTTGTTTGTTTGTTTTTCAGCTTAACATATCATGAAACAGTGTTCAATCAGCACATACATACTCCCTTACTTTTTACCAGTGCATCATTTTCAATTTTAAGAATGTACCATAATTTAGTTACCTCGTTTCCTGAGGGTGGACACCAATGTTTCCACTTTTTTGTTGTTTATAAATAATGTAACAAATGCCATGTGCATACAAGATTTAGCATACAAAGTGAACAAGCAAATATATTTTCAGGATAAATTCCTAGAAAGGGAATATACACTCTTAATTTTACAAGGCATTGTCACATTTTCTACATAGAGATTAAACTCCTCCAGCCTATCTCCCCACACTGGCCACTCTTTTTATTTTTTAAAGACTATTTCTTTAGAGGAGCTTTGGGTTCACAAAAAAATTAAGAGGGAGACAGAGAGATTTCCATATACCCTTTGCCCGCCGCATATGTAACAGCCTTCCCTCCCCATTACCAACATCCCTTACCAGAGGGGTACATTTATTACAACTGATGAACCTATTTTAGTCAGCTGATGTCCATACTTTACATTACGATTCCCTCTTGGTGTTGTACATTCTATGGATTTGGTCAAATGTATAATGACATGTATCCATCATTATAGTATCATACAGAATATTTTCTCTGTGCTCTGATTATCCATTCCTCCCTGCCCCAACCCCTGGCGATCAATGATCTTTTCACTGTCTCCACAGTTTTGTCTTTTCCAGCATGTCATATAGTTGGGATCATGCAGTATGTAAAAAGCTAAAAAAGATTGGCTTCTTCTGTTTAATATAGCCACTCATTTTTTAAATTCCACTATTTCAGATAATTTATTAAAGTATTCCAATTTTATATTACTTATTTCTAACTACAAGTTACCAATGCAAGTCCCGAACTTGGGAGCATCCTATCAAATCCCTTTGGGAAACATTTTGGCGTCACACTAATCGCCTTCTGACTCTGTTCCAATACATTTAGAAGTTCAAGAAATTGAACATATGAACAGGTTATTGACTTTACCTTAAAGTTTGCCCCCCCCCAAAAAAAAAAGTTTGTCCCATGATTTATAGAACACAAAGCCCTTTCACACGTGGTTTCACAACCTGTCAACACATATTATTTCCATTTTACCAATTAGGAAACCAAGCAAGGTAAACACAGATCCAATTCTTCTGACTCCTAAACCATTGCTGCTCCCATTACATTCCCACACATCTAGTGATTAAAGGACATGATAGTTCAGCAGCACTGAGTCACAAATACTAATTCCTGTATCTGATCCTCCACACCTTCCACTTTCACATTATCATTCTTGCTAATTTATTGAATATTAATACAGGACAGACATTGAGAAAATATGATAAGCATTTTACATCTACTATCCTCACTTAATTCTCACAACCCTACGGTGGAGTTATTATCATCTTTGCTATTTACAGGTGAAGAAACTGAGGCTTAGAGGATGAAGTAAGTTTCCCAGGATCACACAGCTAGTAAGTGGTAGTGTAGGAATTTGATGAGGGCATCTACCTCATAGCCCATACTCTTTAACCACTACGGCCTCCTACCTCCCAGACTACCTTGAAAGAAACTAGCACTTCCTTCATGCCAATCCTGCTTTACAGAACTTCTTGTGATCAGAGAAAAACCACAGGGCAAATCTAGACTCATGTATCCGAATTGGTGTGTTCTCAGAATCCAAGGTACAAATCTGCTTTAATTTTCATAAACTGGCCAAACTGATTGTACATGCCAGATTTCTAACTACATCCCAATAGAGGTTCAGGAAATGAGATGTATTTCTGAGACTTAATCAACTTAATTTGCTGTCTGAGTCACCGTAGTCCTTTAACCTAATTCCAGCCTGTTTTAGGGCCACACTTCTGTTCCGCTCTTCCATTCCTGTCACCTTTGGTCAGCACTCCATGGGAAAGAGGCAGCAAGATCCCTCTGTCCCACTGGACAGCTGCTGTTCCACTAGCCGAGGTCACCTTGAGTTCCATGGATCCAAGGTGACTGACAGTAGGGTCACTTTGACTTCTCATGCCAGTTTCTTTGGAACACAATCAGCTGAGAATTTCTAAGGTTATTCCGGTTCATGTCCCCAAAATATTAAAGTAAACACGTTTAGCAATAAACTAATTTCTTCACCTAGTTCAGGGGTTGGCAAACCATCATGACCCATGGGCCAAATCTGGCTATGGCCTGTTTTTATAAGACTTATGAACTAGGAATCTACATCTTTAAAGAGCTGTAAAAAACAAAGAAGAATAATGTGACAGAGACCTTGGTCTGAAAGCCTAACATGTTTACTATCTGATCCTTTACAAAAGAAAGAGTTTGCCAACTCACAACCCAGCCGATCTTCCTCCCCTCAGAGGTGGTGAACTTCCCCTTGTGGTCCTGCCACACCCGCAGACTCCAGAACAGAGAACAGTAAACTAGCCAAACAAGTTATCTGGCCAACACTAAACAATCACCTTCATATACATTCTTAGAAGTAGAGAAAAAACAAGCAAGCTGCTGTTATCAAATAGGGTTCCAAACATGTTGCTGGATGAGCAGAGCAGTCATTAAAGCCAGAAGTAAAACTGTGAGTTAAGTCACCTTTAACACAGACTTTGTTCTCTGGAAATATTGGAAAATTGCTCACATCAGAACTCCATCACACCAATTTCTAAATAACTGCTCATTAGGAGAGGATTTGCCTCAAGTAAACATAACCATAACTCCTTAAGCACGAGGACGGGGAAGCCATTGAGTCAAAGGAACGTTTTGTTCATTCTCTTAATTTCCACAACTTTCAGCCAAGTTCACTAAGAGTCATTTGGACCAAAACTCCCCCAATAGCCCAAATGGTCCAGAGAAAAACATAAGAACCAATTAGTTCTGACTCTTTTAGGAGGGAAGATGGCTTCATCCTAGGAATGTGACAGAGCCCACTGCTAAGCTAACTAAACTCTTTAATCCTCTGAATGGCAAATCTGGGCTTTTAGGCCCTCAAATAACCCAATTTACGGTGCACCTTGGTTCTCAAACTGACTAGTTCATTCATCAACAGATCTTCACTGGGCACATGCTGTATGCCATGCATTATGTTAGGCATTAGATTTTTAGTGAATAAGTATGCCTAGAGACAAGTATTAAGCAAATAAGCATACACAGTCATAATTTCACACTTTGATGATTAACAAGGAAACAAAGAATCCTGGAAGAGGAAATAGACGAGGGAACTTACAAACTTAAACTGGGGTATCTAAACCAATTCTGACCCAATCACAATAGGCAGAGACTATTAAAATTCCTAACTGCAGAATCAAATACTTCTTTTCAGATAGCTCTCTGTGACACATCCTACCTCAGGAGACCATGACTACCAGATGTGTCCAGAGATGCTAAATACCAACTCAAAAGGAAGAAGATGTGGCATTTTATTACAAATAAGTGCTTAGGTTACACAGGGATAATTCATTTTTAAAGCACACCAAGCACAATGTCTGTCATATATGAGATCTCAATAAATGATATGTTATCATTTCATTATGATCAGAAGAAATTCAGAGTACTCGCTTCAGTTCTAGGTACCAACCTTTAAGAGGGCTAGCTAGAGATCTCAGAAGGTGCGTCCAAATATGTCACAAAACCCAAAGCCAGAAAATACTATGTGCCTAGCAAGCACTAAGTGCTCAATTTAAAAGGTTAGCTGTAAAGCACAGAAATATGAATCAAAATTACAGTAAGATGGCAAAAAAAGAATTGTTATAAACCACCTTATCGGCGAAAATGAGAAAATACCCTCAATTACTGCTGGTTAAGTGTAAAATGGTACAACCTCTATGGAGAACAATTTAGCACTCGCCATCAGAATTTTAAATGTACACAATCCTAGATAAATTAGAACAGTGGTTCTCAATCAGGGGTGACTTTTTTACTCCCTCGTGGAACATCTGGTAATGTCTGCAGACATTTTTGGTTGTCACAACTTGGGATAGGGGTGCTACTGGCATGTAGTGCATAGAGGGCAAGGATGTGATAAACATCCAATAATGCACAGGCCAGCTTCCTCAGCAAAGAATTATCTAGCCACAAATGACAAAGTGCTGAGAATGAAGACAACCTGTATTGAAGCATGTGCAAAATGATTAAGTGCAAGGTTACTAACTGAAGCATTGTTTGTAATATCAAAAGAAACAGCAAGGTCCATCAATAGAAGGTATAATGGAATACTATTTATCTGTTAAAAAAGACACACTTCTACATATGCAAGATAAAAATCTCCCAGTTAGATGCAGAACAATGCCCACAATAAATACCAATTGTGAAGGAGGAAGGAAAAGGAAAAATATACACAGTTCATATGTATTCCCAAAGATACATGTGTGTGAAGAGATCATGTGTGTGGAGAGATCCATGTGTGTGGAGTGGCTGGTTATACATCAGCTGCCTCGAGGAGTGGAAGAGAGAGGTCGTTGTTTACCTTTTTGGTACCTTTAAAA